AGTTCCCTGTTCACGGTTACCGTAGCGGCTCACGACACCGTACTACAGGACAGTCCCTTACTTGTGCTGCTTCTCCCGCCCGCCACGTAGATAAGAGCGGAATGATTAAAGAACCAGAAAGATCTGAAACAAGCGAGATAGAAAATAATTGATAACCTCTATTGTAATTTGGGGAACCCCAAAGCGCAAATAATCTTTGGATCACTGGAGATATTGGGGAAAGACTCTCAACCTTTCTTTGACGAACGAGATAAAATTAATGACATCCAGCTTTGGATAAATAGCTTCAGTCCACAAGATATCATCTTGATTGTATACAATCCATTAAACTGGATCTTATCCAATTGTTAAGCTATTGCAAGTCCTTAACTAATGGGAGTTAGTAAAGTTCCATTTTACGAATAAATCACAGCAATAACAACTAATTTAACTCTTTTTTTTTTACTTATATCTAGTACACGTATTATACAGCCTATTTTATTCATGGTGGATAGAAGCAAGCGACTGCTTTTACTGTAAGTACACCACATGTGAAAGGCAGTTACGACTTTGCACTTACAAATGTGCCAGAGCCCCGTTTAGTTATTTGCACTCGCTGGTGGGGTTGGACTTTTGCAAGAATCGGGGGTCATTGGAGCATTTTTTTTTTTTTCAAATCAGAAAAAAGTGCCCAATGCGGGAATCGAACCCGGATCGTAGCGTTCAAAAACCAACAGTTTAGACCATCCTTCCACCGACACCCTAATTTAACAATGTAACACCCTAATGTAAACAAAGATATTTACATTTGCTATCTTGACTCCTGGTCAGTGCTGTGGCCCTCGCAGATATGGTCCCCTGATGTCCTGCAGCTCTCCAGCAGTCTTTCTATGGTCTCTCCTGGTGGTTCCTCGATAAAAGGGTCCCTGTCCTTGATCCATTCTTGTCTGTCAGGTCTCCAGTCGTCATCTGTTCTAGGTCGTTCTCCTGGATCTCTTCTATGGTCGTCGTATTCCTGTGATCCATGTCCGGTGTTCCACCTACCTCATCTTCACTCTCAGTATAATGTGCTTCCATCGGTGCTACGATTTCGCCTTTTCGACCTACGAAGAGAACCATGAATTTGACAGAATCATATAAATTGAAGCTGCCATAGCCCGAAATCGTGGTATGCAAATCGTGTTTTGTTCGAATTAGCCAAAGCTGCTGATGCTATGGCTTATTCTATTATCTGAATCGACCTTCTCTCTCAGGGACGATCGAGAATTCTAAGGTATTAATGCCTTTGTTTAAGGAAAAGAGGTGCTCCTCAAAATACGCATCTTCTTTATTACCTTACCTTTTGTAATTCAAAAATGTACATACCCTCATACCAGCTTATTTCTACTGATATTTCGAATGTCTACATATGATCCATTTCAAAATTGCATATCAACAGAGAATATGCAAAAATGGTTGTTACATCTAATTCCTTCACATGGTGGAACATCAGATCACCGCCATAAGCTGGTTGATTTTACCTGAAATTCCTCTTAGGTCCTGTTTTGTAGCTTGGATACAAACAAGGAGATGTTGAGAATTGGCACTTTTCACTGTTTTTTTATACCTGGTGCGTGTTGGAAATGTTTTAATGTCGCCTATAAACTTGAGACATTTTGAGATTTACAGAGCCTTGAATTTGGAAATTACGAATTGCTTCTCTCTAAGGTTTTGCAATAGTTATTGTTAATTTCTTTATTGATATACCAGGGGTGAGCCAGCCAAATTTTTTTCATTTATATATATATTGTATATTTTTTCCTTTTCCTCGGATTTACCCAGATTAATTTATTAACTTGATTATCTTAATTAAGTTTTCCTGTATATAAATTTCATATTACCTTTATGTGATTAGCTTTAAAAAAATAATAGCAATGTTTATTAATGGTATTTTTACTGTTACTCCTGCATGTACCATAAATTTCTTTTTTGAGAATCTGTATAAGACTGAAAGGTCTTAATAAAACTTTTTGTTGTTGTTAAAAAAAAACATTTTAAAGACATTTAGGATTAAAAAGCGATAGTTTTCCGTATATAAGTTAATGGGAATCAAACACAGGACTCAGTCTGTACACGCCTATTTTGATCATTTATTTGAATTTTTCCAAAAAATGGTAGAAGAATGGAAATATCCAGTGAAACCCATCTTCATGGAGACATTAGGTGTGTGTTTGTGATGGTCGAATAATCAAAACCTGTTATGAATATTCGAAACTATTATAGACGCGTAAGATTCTTTTGAAAATTAAACAATTTCTACTGCCCTTACTACAATGATAAAATTAAAGGGAGGGCCTGGCTCATCAGTGGTGAACCCTCTCAGCGGTTTCGCCAGTTCAATCTACCATACCGCTGTTATATTGCATTTTTGGAACTTCCTTTTATAGTGATACTGATGCTAGACTCTTGGAATGGGTATTTAAGATGAGCTATGGACATAAGTTTTGAGGACAGTAGAATTACATACAATTATAAATATGAAAAAACAATAGAAAAAATAAAAGATAAGTGGGTCAGGTGTTGATATTAAAAATAAAGAAGGCATCTCCTGACCACGAGCACATGTGCTTTTTAGATGGCAGAGCGCCATCTGGTGGAGAAAAAAATAAACTAAACGTTTATTTAGCTTGCTCCGTGATATTTGGCCAACCCAATTTCTTGATAAATCAAGAATTTTTATTTTTTATATTGTTTTTTCATGTGTTAAGCGTCATTACGCAAATTTGGCCTTAAATACCCATTTCTTGATTTCTCAAGAAGCCTCTGGGACCAAAAATATTTTTGGTCGCAGTGATACAGCCTGCTCCCCGCTGACGAGAGCCAACAGCGCGAAACGCGTTCGTGGATGGCTTTTCTTGATTTATCAAGAAATTGGGTTGGCCAAATATCACGGAGCAAGCTAAATAAGCGTTTAGTTTATTTTTGCTCCACTAGATGGCGCTCTGCCATCTAAAAAGCACATTTGCTCGTGGTCAGGATATGCTCCCTTTATTTTTAATTATAAATATATAAAAGGCATCGAGCAATCGCTCTTCCACAAACTTTAAATTGAATCTTTTATTTGAACAATTATATTATGATGCATAGCGCGTCATCTGTTATGAATATTCGAAACTATTATAGACGTGTATGATTCTTTTGAAAATTAAACAATTATAAAACCTGTTATGTATTGGTAGAGATATTTGTTATAAATATTCTTAATTTAATTGTGTAAATAAGCAGAGTAATATTATCACTGATATAGAATATTCGATCTATCATCATAAATATGTAAATAGGGTAACTTAAAAAAGATTAGGCAGATTACGGATAAAAAAAGAATAGATGCCTTCATGAGGATTTGCCTACGAATCACTATAGGAGCCCCATTCAATCTTTCAAACAAAATTCTCAAAGAAGATCTCAACCAGCCTAATATAGAAGATATTTATCAAGACTCTGCGACAAGACTATTCTCGCAATTTCAAAAATCATCAAATCCAACTATACAAGAAATTGTTCAAATTCAAGGTGACCTCAGCCACCGAATCCGACGACCTGGACCCAATGGCTAGCTGACAACCAAACACCCAACAACTGCCCTCCTGTAAGGTTCGGGGGGCCACTCCAGCATTACAACTCGCCATGTGTAAATAATCTGGCTGGACAAGGTGACTCGCGAGCTGTGCTCGAATGTAACACCTGCAAATTGAGATGAAATAAATTTTAAAAAATTAGGCAGATTGATTTTTTTTTTTTTTTGTTCCAAGATCACTTTATTAGGTACCGCTCAAAAATATCAACCTAGTTTATGATATTTACAACAATGAATAATATATGATGGTTATTCACATATTAAACAAAAATGTTAACGCTAGATTCAATCCCGGTTCATGACTATCAGGAATCGAGGGTTTAGATTGATATGAGGAATAAATCTTTAATATAGAATCAAATGGCAAATAATTCCTTCTCTTCACATAAAAGACTTAACCATTGAAAAGAGATGATACAATATTGTAACGGAATTATTTTATAAACAGATTATTGATTTCCATATTGTACACTACATAGCAAATTTAACTCGTTGCCTCTCTATTCTTTTATGTTTTGAAAATAGAGCAATCCATAAATAAATCTTTAATTAAAAAGGCATATATTGGATCAAAAAATCATTTATTTTACCAATATTTCAGTTGGCTGAACGCCAACCTTTATTAAGGTATTATAACATATTTAATGTGTGTCAACAACAAACTCAGCGCCACATAACGTCAACAGAATTAAGTTTAAAAATTTTTGTTATATTCAATGGGGGAAAAAACATTTTTGATATATATATTTATATTATGGACAAAATAAATTTTGTAAAATATGGGTGTGAATATTTTGAAAATTAACAATAAAGCTTTGTTGTTGACACACATTAAATATTAGTAAATTGAATTTAATTGCCATCTATCGTTAAAATTTTACACAAATAAATTTACTGGCAATGCGTTTCTTTTAAATATCATCAAATATGATCTCTACAGACCTTACTGCAATGATATGAGTTATCAAATGAGAGGGCTTGGCTCATCAGTAGTGAACCCTCTCAGCGGTTTCGCCAAATTAATCTCTAGACCGCTCTACTATTGTATTGGATTGGTTTGGAATATACCCTGTATTTTCTATGGAAGGCAGCTTAGGGGTGTTTAGTGAACTATGGACATAAGCTTATAGGTCTGTAGAGGTATATACATATAATTTCAAGGTGTTGCATCGAACAACGCTCTTCCGCAAAATATGTTTTCATAACAAATTGCGTTCAGCCAACTGAAATATTTTTTGATCCAATATATGCCTTTTCAATTTAAAAAAATTCTTTTACGTATTTAAGGTTGAGTTGTGTGTGTTTGGATCAAAACAAATTGGTTAATCATCTTGATGCAGCAACAACAACATATGGTTTAACGGGCTACTAACCAAAATGTATTGTTATAGAACCCAAAATAAAGCCCCCCGGTGGGGAATCGAACCCCGGTCACCCTAGTGACAGGGCGGGAATACTAATCACTATACTACCGAGGAAAAAATGTGTTTGTAGTGTTTGGATCAAATTAAATGTATTTACCAGACTGATGTAGTCACCTACAAAACAACAAAGTTTTTAAGAAATGTGAACAATTTTTGACGCGTATGATTCTTTATAAAATAAATCAATTTTCTATTGCCCTTACTACAATGATAAACTGGCGAAACCGCTTGGAGGGTTCACCACTGATGAGCCAGGCCCTCCCATTATTTTATCATTGCACTAAGAGCAGTTGAAATAAATAATATAGCTATATTAGTATAGTATTATTATTATTATTTATTTAAGTAACCCAGGTTCCTGGAGCGTACAGAAGTCGCCAACTACCCGGGATGTCCTTCTGACCTAAGTCTTCTTGGATTTATATACAATGCCAGTGGAAGTCCAATTAATGAGGTGTCGCCAGGCAGATTTCTTTCTTGGGAGATTTTCTAGGGATGCTGGACATATGTTGGTGATACCTAGGAGAGTGGCTGTCTGAAATCTTTGGTATTGGAAGGTTGGGCAAGTGAAGAGGAGGTGGTCTACGGTTTGGTCTTCATCTTGGCAGTGGGGGCAAGTTGGGTCTTCTTATTAGTATAGTATATAATAATAAATAATATAATAAATATTATTATATAAATAATAATAAATAATAGAGTATAACTTTATTTTTCGAAAAGGGTTACAAGTTTTTCTCTAAAAAGAGTAACGAATGGTCAATCTATTTACAAATTTGTATTTACAACTTCAATAAATAATAACTGTAAAAGTAAACAGAGATATTTACATTTGCTATCTTGACTCCTGGTCAGTGCTGTGGCCCTTGCAAATATGGTCCCCTGATGTCCTGCAGCTCTCCAGCAGTCTTTCTATGACTGGTGGTTCCTCGATAATATGGTCCCCTGGCCTTGATCCATTCTTGTTTGTCAGGTCTCCTGTCATCTGCTCTAGGTTGTTTTCTTGGATCTCTTCTATGGTCGTCGTATCCCTGTGCTCCATGTCCGGTGTTCCACCTTTCTCGTCATCACATGCCAGCTCCCTACATCGTTCCAACCATCTATCCATGGCTTCTATTTCTTTATTTCTCTGTAACTTATCGTGAGGTTCATTCTTCTTTTCTGTTGAGATAATTTCCATAGTTTTTTTAGCACCAGGGATTGAATATATGCGAAGTCCCTTTTTCTTATGTTTATTTCCTTCCTATATTGTTTGTTATATTTGGTTACTATTCCATCCCATGTTAAGACTATCGGCACTACTTTTACGGGCATTTTTTCAGTTTGGGCCATTTCCCTCGCCAGTAGCTGGTATTTTCCTTTCTTTGTCAGCTCCGTAGTTTGAATATTGTCTTGGGAGGTAACGCCTATCTCTATGATTGTTATGTCTTTTTTTTATTTTGTCATATACTATTATATCAGGTTTGTTAGCTCTGATATTGATATCGCTTATCATTGGCAGGTCCGTTGTTATTTTGGCGTATGAATTTTCAATTTTAGTTTTATATAATAATTTATTTTTCAAAAAGGTCACAAGTTTTTCTCTAAAAAGTGTAAGGAATGGTCAGTCTATTTACAACTTCAATAAATGCCATCAGTAAAAGTAAACAAAGATATTTACATTTGCTATCCTGACTCCTGGTCAGTGCTGTGGCCCTTGCCGTTATGGTCCCTTGATGTCCTGCAGCTCTCCAGCAATCTTTTTATGGCCTCTCCTGGTGGTTCCTCGATAAGATGGTCCCCTGGCCTTGATCCATTCTTGTCTGTCAGGTCTCCTGTCATCTGCTCTAGGTCGTTCTCCTTATTTAATTTGATTTAATTATTCAATGAAAATATTTGGAAACAGATTTATTATTTGTAAAATAATCATTTACTTGCTCGATATTCTCTAGCTGTAGATAGTTTTGTTGAGTTGTTAATAATTGTCGACTGGTCGCCGTGACGTCATCAATAAATACTTTCACACCTTCAGATAAACAAAGACCTAATTTTCTACGCTACAATATGGTCAAAAATAGTTCCAATTTCTTATAAAAGATGGCGCGCTAATCCATCATATTAACAAAGGTTTCGTCCTACATAGACTCCAAAGAGAAAAAAAGTATAAACACAAGTAAAATGGTCATCAGATAGTCTTGGTGATGAAGCATAACGATGCTTGTCTTTAAGTTATTTTCTTTTTTTTTACTTGCTATCCATATTATATCAGCTTGTCTGTCGAATAATAAAACTTTAACAGTCTTATGTTTCGATGTACTAGAGCGCCATCTGTTATCAAATTATAAAACTATTTTAGAGGCGTAATATTCTTTTTAAAATAAAACAATTTCTACTGTCCTTAAGGACAGTAGAAATTGTTTTATTTTAAAAAGAATATTACGCCTCTAAAATAGTTTTATATTCTTATGTTTGAAAATAATAAACATAGGTTTAATGCTATTTGAAAATATACAACAACAAACTTTATAATATAATACACTGCGGCCTGTGATTGTAAAACGACACTTGAAGTTACACCGCATGAGTTTCTTTTCAACGAATAATCAAACTTTTATTTCAAGGTGAAATATCGACTATTTCTAACCTTTTTGGATGAGGTATGAAAGGATGAATTATGAAGAGCAATGACGAACGACAAAATAGCCTAGTGGATATGGCATCTGTCCGGTAAGCGGAACATTGTGGGTTCGTTTCCCATCCCTGGACACTTTTATTTTTCCGTTCGTCATTGCTCTTCATAATTCATCCTTTCATACCTCATCCAAAAAGGTTAGAAATAGTCGATATTTCACCTTGAAATAAAATTTAGATATTTCTCGTTGAAAAGAAACTCATGCGGTGTAACTTCAAGTGTTTTTAACAACAAACTTTATTAAGACCTTTTGGTCTAATATCTATTCTCCGAATAGAAAAGGGTATATACAGAAATAACAGTAATAGTTACAATAATCAGAAATGTTATTTATAATGTATTAAATAAGGGGAAAGAAGAAAAAAAGGGCTTGACATAAACTTGTATACAAGCAAGCGAGAACAAGCAATTCCTTTTCTTAAAAGACAATAATTAGTAGTATTAACAAAAATTTTGATTAGTACAAGTGAAAAAAGAATATGAAAATTCGAAACTATTATAGACACCTATGATTCTTTTTGAAATTAAACAATTTCTACTGCCTTTACTGCAATGGAAAAATTAATGAGAGGGCCTGGATCATCAGTGGTGAACCCTCCCAGCGGTTTCGCCAGTTTAATCTTTCCGTTGCAGTAAGGGCAGTAGAAATTGTTTAATTTTTAAAAGAATCATACGTGTCTATAATAGTTTCGATTTTTCATAACAGATGGCACGCTAATGCATCATAATATAAAAAGGAATATACAACAATTTGTATTTTCTTTTTTAAAAATATACAACTGAAATTATTTCTACAGCCTTTATTCTGCGATGATTAAAAAATGAAAGAGGGAAGACATGTCTCATCAGTGGTGAACCCTCCCAGCGGTTTCGTCATTTTAATCTCCAGGCGCTACGTTAATGATGGTATTTTAAGCCTTATCATTTTTTCTGCGTAATGCTGTATAAAAGTGACACACACAAGCTTGCTTAAAAAGAAGATACAAATGAACAAAGAAGATATCATGAAAACTTTAAAATATTTCTGACGCTATGATTCTTTTAAAAATAAATCAACTTTCTACTGCCCTTACTGCAATAATAAAATAATGGGAGGGAACGTTTCTTTTTGGTATTTCATTGAGTCAAAGGAAAGCAGAAGAAACTATATTAAAAAACTTTTTTTTTTTTTACTTATTCAAATTACATGTGGTACAGGTCACTTATTTGGAAGTTAGCGCACCGTAGTGCTGTTTGGTTACTTGAAATTTTGATCATTTTGTAAGAATCGGGGGCCATTGACGCTTGATTGATTTTACTCTAAGTTATATATTTACTTAAAGATTAATATTATGATGCATTAGCGCGCCATCTGTTATCAAAATTCGAAACTATTATAGACGCGTATGATTCTTTTTTAAAAATAAACAAATTCTACTGTTCTTACTGCAATGAAAAAATAATGGGAGGGCCTGGCTCATCAGTGGTGAACCCTCCCAGCGGTTTCGCCAGTCTAATCTACCATACCGCTGTAATATTGCATTTTTCGAGTTTCATTTTATACTGGTACTGAAGCTAGACTCTTGGAATGGTTATTCACTGATGAGCCAGGCCCTTCCCAATATTTTATCATTGCAGTAAGGGCAGTAGAAATTTGTTTTATTTTCAAAAGAATCATACATGTCAAAAAATAGTTCAAAGTTTTCATACCAGATGGCGCTCTAATGTAGAGACATAAAGAAGAGATCAAAGAGTAAAACACAAGTAGAGCTTTGTTCAAACTATTTGGGTAAAAATACTAAAAAATAAATAGTGGGTAATGTTCAACTCCCCCCTTCGTATTTTCTTAATTGGCTCCCCAATTAGTCAGCGGGACAATCGGGTATTGATGGCCCTGTTGCCATGGTTACAGACGGCGCCGGGGGTGGGGCACCTGGACAAACACCCGTTACTCCCCGCCGGCGGGGGTTAGATCTGTCGCCTCTGTCTAGAGATATATTTGCACAAGTTCTCACACTAACATTTGGGATTTTACTCTTTATTATTACTTTTTTTTTAGGGGATCGGTGAAAGGATAATCTAAACCGTTTGTTTTCGGCTGCTACGACCTGGGTTCGATTCCCGTATTGGGCACTTTTTTTTTCTGATTTAAAAATAAATAAATGCTGAATAATCCCTGATTCTAACAAAAATCCAACCCCACCAGCGAGTGCAAGTAACCAAACGGTGCTCTGACACATTTGTAAGTGCAAAGTCGAACTGATTTGTACATGTGTAGACATGTGGTGCATTTACAGTAAAAGCAGTCATCTACTTCTATCCAACATGATTATCATGACCTGCACCACATGTACGTGGATTTCACTCTTCATTATTATTTTTTTTTTTAGGGGATCGGTGAAAGGAT